GTGTGTGTGAGCTTGTCAGATGGGAGCGCGTGGAGACAAATGGTTTTTATGACTTGACGTGCTGTTGGAGTGTGAGCAAAGTAACACTTAGGAAGAGGTTCAGGGAAACCAGTTAGCCAGACTTAGAGTCCTGGAGGTGGGAAGTACAATGCCTGTGCTCTGAAGGAGGAGTGCTGATATGAGAAATTTTTTAACTGTAGTGTAGGCATGCCTCTGGCAAGGTAATGATGGAGTGAATGAAAGCGAGTGTTTCTTCTTTTTTCGGGTCACCCTGCCTCGGTGGGAAATAGCCTATGTGTTAAAATAACAAAATATGTATCAATGGTAGAACATATTGAAAAGTATATTAAGTCACAATAAGCAGTTTGTGGAATTTTATTAAGATGTTCTGTTCTCCTGGAACTTTGTCAACTCTCAAAAATTGATGAAGTCCTTGGTGGATGAAATGTCTTCTCAATAGCACAAAATGAGCCTAGCCCATGGCCAGACTCCAATAGTAGTAAGGTATATCAAAGGTAAAGGTAATAAAGGCCATAAACCTCACATTACGTCATATAATTCTACCAAGTTTTAATGAGTCCATCAATGATCATATGTTACCAGGTTTTACACAGGCAGGCTCTCTGAATTAATAATACGTACCATGTTTCATGCACAAGAGACTGGATGAATACAACATGCCATGTTTCATTGTTGGTTTTCTAACCCATTTATCACATGCCATGTTTCACACAGGCAGTCTCTATGGATGAATGCTAAATGCTACTGAGTTTCATAAATGGCAAACTGAATGAATGATACAGAACACTGTTTTATAAGAAACAAATCTCTGGATGAATGCTACAGTAATGAGTTTCATACATGCTGTCTGTGGATGAATGCTATAGAAAAGCATTTTATGTAAGCAGTCTCTGGATGAATGCTACAGTAATGTGTTTCATACAAGTCATTGCTAGATGAATGCTGAATTAACACATTTCACACATGCCGTCTCCGAATGAAAGTTACAGTAACATGTTTCATACAAGCCATCTCAGAATGACTGCTATAATTTTATATAGTCTTTTATGAAAGCTACATGTTATACAGTCATTATCTCTGGATGAATACTACAATGTTTACACAGCCAGTGTCTGTGGATGAATGCTCTACACGTTTCAAACGAGCTTTGTAGTTATTTGACAGATAATAATATAATAATAATAATAATAATAATAATAATAATAATAATAATAATAATAATGGGGCTAGTAACCCCTTCTCCTGTATAAATTACTAAATTTAAAAAGAAAAAAACAAAAAAACTCATTTTTCTTTTTAGATCACCCTGCCTTGGTGGGATACGGCTGGTGCAATGAAAATAAAAGAAAAAATAATAAAAATAAAACATGTGCACATTGTTTCAATCGCATTTGGCAAAATAAAAGAAGACAAGATTAAGAATCATATTTGTGTTTATTTGCTCTATTCTTCTACAGCCCCTAAACAGAGAACAGTGCCCAAATTGACGGCACTCTTGCAGGCATAAAATACACGGTGACAAGGAATAAGGCATCCATCAGGCTACCTGTTGCAATGTCAAGATAATCTTCAAAACAATTCTGGTCAAAAACTTGGATCGGATTAATGACAGGATAAAGCGAAAAACATTCGGGTTTCAGTGCCTATGCTAAACATGATAACTGTCCAACAAATGGAAAACAAACTGGCAGTAATCACTTAAACAGAAGATATGTATTCACTGTAACCTATGTTAAAAATTACCTTATCCATAATAATAATAATAATAATAACAGAGGAGGAAACAGAGGACGAAGCTAATTCTAATACTGTGTTAAACACAATAATTTACATTTATCCAACATATGCCTCGCATTCACAGCTCAACAAGTAATTTACAGTTTACATCAAGTGCATAAATGTTTATAAGTCCGAGTTTGGAAAAAACAAACAAAAACTAAATTACAAGTTCGGTGAGTTTTCTCATAAGACTCAATCAAGTTGCTTTATCTCTGAGACCAAACTGATACCACTCTACATACGTATATTATTCTAGAGAGTATTTAGAATACGAGGAAATGACTCACAAAATTGTAATAACCCCATCTGTACCATGGTTTACGAGAAAATAATTAGTGTTTCTGATGGTGAGTTTGATGGAATAGTACGTACTTCAGTTATACTTTACCTAAATGAGGCTCAGATATATAATACTTCCTAAAAATCTTTAGATAATAAATGTTATTACTGTACAGTACATTAAAATCAAATGCTGAACTCATTTTGTTGAAACAAAATGATCTAAAACCCATTGCAAATGAACCTAAAAAACCTCTGAGACCAAAAGAAACAAAAATGTACATCTCAACAGACATGACCACAACAAACACTGCCATTGTTTTACTGTCAGATACAAGTTATCACAGCTCTCCAAGCTTCCTAAACATACAGTAGATACTAACACAAAAGAGTGAGGGAGCCAGTGTAAATAGGTGAGGAGAGACAGGGATGGGATCAAGAGAGAAAGAAAAAGTAGTAGTGGTAAGGCTGTAAGTGGTAGTAGTAGTGGAAATTATAGTGGTAGTAGAAAGTAGGGAGAGTAGTTTAGTGGCACAAGAGATCTATGACATTCCAACAACATGATTTGAAGCACAGGTAGGGAAACTGGATCAAAGTTTAACAAAAAAATTCAAAAAAATTCCCGGCATATCTCTAACACCTACCAAGGGTGAAGAAGGCACAATGAATCAAAGTAATATCCCTAACTTAAGTGAATCCTAACTTAGCAATAGATACTAACATGTGACAATTAATGATGACACTAACTACATCATCAACTCAACCTAGTAACATAGGGGTGCCACAGATTACTACCCAAGACTCTATATTACCGTATTTTCTGGCATATGAGGTGCGCCTTTCTTTCCACAAAGTGTTGAACAATCACCCTGGGCCTTATATGCTCAAGATCAGGGTCAAGGGTGGACTTTGGGTTATGCTTAAGCAGCTGTTTACTAATGTTATGTTGCAAACTGCTTGGAAACATTGTTTTATATGTCTCATATGGCAGTGCGCCTAATTGTAGGAAAATACAGTAAGTGTATTTCTCATCTACGTAACTGATTTGCCTAATGCCTCCCACGAACTTAAACCGGTTTGTCTGCAGGCAACAAAGTTTTATCATCTCCTATCCAGATCTGGTTGTCCTCAATAATGAAGATAGCTACTAGGATACAACCAACAAGCTCATACTCAATATTAGTAAGACCTTCAACACTGTATTCAGGAATAAAGCTAAAAATAATGAAATGAACAAAAAGATAAATAATACAGACAGTAAATCACCTAAAACCACCGTAACTCAACAAAAATCTGTTAGTAGAATGATCACTTAATCAAGTTCCAGATAACACACACACCCATTATTTAAGTTTCAATGTATTCAACATTCAAGACACCCAAATTTCAGTGTATACTCTGTACGTATACAGAACACTCAATGTAAACAAAAACTAAGTGCTAAAACTTTTTTGAGAGCTGCAACAGAATGCATACACAATGCGAGAAACAAATATCTTTTCAATATGCCAATACATATACCAACAGAAAAGTAGAAACTACATGCACATAATATTGAATTATCTACCAGAGGATTCCAAAAAATTCCTAATCTATCAAATGCTCCAAAAATATTAAGAAACACCTGAATTCAATGTAATTTGCATAAATAGAATAGAAATATCAAGCACTATATATCTGGTGCAATCCTGTATATCTAATTCCTATCATGGACCGAGCTGCAGCGACACTGACTCCTGGAACACCCTTCAGGTATTCTCCAGGTAACATTCACGTTCATGCACTTATTGTCACTGCTACATGTATTTTTTCCCTCTAATAATCATAGATAAAACTGCCAAAACAATTTTATATTACTATCTCTTCTTGTTAACATTGCTGCTTTAATAAATATAAAATGTAGTTATGTTACTTAAGATAATAATTATGTCTTATAATCCTATCTGGGAATATTAAACTAATCATTCAAATATTCTGTCTGGGAATATTAAACTAATCATTCAAATATTCTGTCTGGGAATATTAAACTAATCATTCAAATATTCTGTCTGGGAATATTAAACTAATCATTCAAATATTCTGTCTGGGAATATTAAACTAATCATTCTAACTTCATCTATACAACAATGCAATGTCAATTATTATAATCAAAATTAGGTGCTAAACCCACAAGGGTCATAATATAATGTCAAATAATTTTAAGTTCTGGTCTTAATTTGACAAAAAATCCTCTGTATAACCAAGGGCTTTTTAAAATATATGAACTAAATGTCATCTAATTATGTGCTGTACATGGAAGAAATCACAAATGCATGATTGCAAATCTGGGAGAAAAAAAAAAAAAAGTGAAGATAGGCAATAAAACCTGAGTGCTTTCATGTGTTTACATACATCTTCAGCTGTTACTCTCAGGTTTTATTTCCTATTTTCACTGTGGTATTTTATTTTATGTACTGTACATATGTTTGTCTTGCTACCGCACTGGCTGCTAACATTCCCTAGCTTTGATATTATCAGGCTGCCTTTCCATCAAGAGCTAGAATTATTATATTGATTGGGAAGTGATATCCTCTTATGGGTGATAATACGCTTGGGGCATGGAAAGCAATCAGGCTTAATCTGAGGAAAGGAAGAGTAGCTTTGGTTCCATGGACAAAGAGTCCTTCAGCAGCATTAGGATGCCCTTTACCCTTGAAGGAAACCGACTCAAAGATACAGCAGCTTGCATTTTCCCATGAGAAAGTAATATATGCACTGGTTTAATTTCTAAACTGAATATCTTTCTTCGTGTGTTAATTTTTATACATTTATGCTTCATGTGATGCAAACCTGAAATAAGTTGATGTGAAAATTCCATAAAGTTGGGCATCAAATCAACATGGATCATTATGGGATGTTTTAAAAATAGCCTTCATTATTACCTTTGTATATAATCATCATTGGCAACACACGGTGAACACAAGGAGTCAGAGGAAGTCATCAGCTTGTGAGTTATTAACGTATAATCCAATTCTAGACGGGGATTCGTGGGGTTACTCTGTGTGTTGTGGGGTGATCTACATGCGTCTGAAATTGTCAACATGATCAGAACACAATTCATTTCACCACAACACCTATTGCAGAACCCATATAAATACTGTATACACAAAATTACTCAAATACTTTTCTAATGAAGAAGGCAGTCATGCAACATCATAATTCTTAAATTTATATCCTACAACTATAGTATTTACAAATACAAGAGGTCCTCACAACTTATGAACTCATGTTCATACTGCAGATCAGTAGTTGTGAAAAAGTTATTGGTAACTAAGTGCTACATAAGTGTGGATGTGCATTATAACTTGGGGTGTTTGTAAGTTAGGGACCTCATGCATAGTTAAACCTAAATATGAACATAATACATCCTCTAATACCCATAATAATAGTGAAATTGTATCCAGATACATCCATCACCCTGGCATGGCATCAGTACAAGCTGTAATAGAAGTGGTGCTTGACAACAATAAGAAATTAGAGTAAACACCAACATATGAGCACTATCCTTATCACTACGGAGCAGTACTAAACCTGTAGGGGTCTTACAGTGCATGGGGAATTTATGATAATTAGGTGTGATCCAAGGGTAGGAATAGTTCTAATTCCTTGGATCAATACACCCTTCCCCAGAATTAAGACACCTTCTTTCAGGGTATGAAGACATTACTGAACAAAGAACATTGAAATATAAATATGGTCTCTAAAGTGGGATAAACTGCAGATAAAAACTGGAGCAACTCTAACAGAATCACAACTTAAAAAGATGACTGATGAAGCAGCTAATATTCTAAATTAAGACAATTTGCAATAAATACAGCAAGCACAGCATAATAAAATATCTTGGTAGTACTTGGCAAAAAACTAACAAATGGTGAATCAAAGACTCGAAAACTTAGTAAGCCTTCCGTTTGACATTTTGCCCTCAATAGGGGTTATTCCAGTACACACAAACACCACCTCACACAAGCACATGGGATCCAAGCATTAGGCCAGGGAATGTGGTGGTTAGGGTGAAATATTTAATAAAAAGCTTACTGTGTCTTTGATTAACCATAAATTATCTTGTGATTGGTGAGGAGACAATGAATGGTCAGAACATAGGTGCTGATCACTCGAGGTCAGAGGTATTGGGAAACCACGATCTACATGGAGATAAATGCTTTATTTTCCTAATAAGTAATATTGAAATAAATTTTTACAAATATTTAATGAACAAGTATCATCATCCTAGTTGGGTTTCTTAATGAGACTAAATGTTAACATTCCCCTTAAAAAAGAAAAAATACGACTGAAAGGTAAGAAATATGACAAGTAAGGTAATTTGAAGACAGAGTAAATGCAAACCTGTGAAATAATACACATACACGCACACATCACGATATTTTATTTAGAAAATGATTTGCAGCAAAACATTTAAAAAAAAAAAAAAAACCTTATATCAGTCATGTGTCTTTTTTCACATTTGTTGGCATTTTATACCTTATCTTACCAAGAGGCAAACCATTAAGATGAAGTTTCACTCAGATGCTGCCTTTCAAGCAAAGAATTGTCTAATAAAACCTTGAACTGCCAGCTATAAGGATCTTTGTAAAAGAAAAAAAAAATATATCATGGAAAAGCAGGACTGTATCAGTACTGTAATATGTTACTTCAAAATCTGTTATTATCCTAATAAACTGAAACCCAAAGAATATTGCCTAATGTATCAGCTCTAATACAAACAGCCGATGATGAGTCCTGGTAGTGCAGCATAATGGTAGAGCCCTCAGTTACAACCAAAGGTCCTGGGTTTAATTCCAGACTATGGGAAAAGTCTCCTTACATCTGTTGCTCACTTGCCTAGCAGCAAGTAGGTACAGTACCTGGGTGTTAGCAGACTGTTGTGAGTTTCATCCTGGGGGATGGCAATACACCCTACTGTATACAGAACTGGGCTTGTAAATGACCTGAGACAGAATAACAACTCCATCCCTGTTAATTAACTGAATGTTGTAAAAAACAGTAGAGGTGTGGAGGCATGCAGGTATTCTTGCATGGAACTCATTTTATCATCACAAACAGAACACTAAGCACAAAAGCTCAACGATTTTACAATTTCTATTTAATGAAAAAGATAAAAAAGAATAAATTACAGAAATGGTTATAATGTATACGGTAAGCACCTAAAAACCTAATTATAATATGTACAGAGCAGATTGGTGTGAAGTAGAGTGCCTGTATTCTGTAGGTTGGGTGGGAGATGTTCCATGTAAAGGATCATTTGAAATGTAATGTCATACTTGTGGCAGCATGGCAGGACAGTTATTGAATGAATGGTAGTGAATGAATGTTTTTCCTTCTTTGAATCATCTTACTTTCATGGGAAACAGTTAATTGTGATACAAAAAAAAAAAAAATACACATGGTAATCTTGTTACTTATCCACTGCTGCAAAAACGAAAGACTAACTCATCCACATCACTCCCAGGAATATTGCAATATTTATCACCATCTTGTCCTCCCCATGGGACAGGTTGCCTCCATTATCACCCGAAGAATACATTAAATGCAATATACTAACTTTTTGTGACATTTAAGTTTTAATAACTGCACGAAATAAGGTCTTGGTAGCCCCTTGCTTAGAGCATTGTAGCTGCCCTTCAAAACACATGGCTTACAGGTTGGGATCTTATGGTTAAAATGGTCATTTGAATTGTGTATACATAGATTATATCTGGAGGGTGTTCCAGGGGTCAGCACCCATGCAGCCCAGTCCATGACCAGGCCTTGTGGTGGCTCAGGACCCGATCAACCAGGCTGTTACAGCCAGCTGCACGCAAACTGATGTATAAGCCACAGCCCAGCTGATCAGGTGTACTGACTTTAGGTGTCTGTCCAGCTCCCTCTTGAAGAAAGCTAGGGTTATATTGGTAATCCCCCTTATGTATGCTGGAAGGCAGTCTTGGGCTGTGTATATGCATTTTGAGAATGCTAGCCAGGTAATATTTATGGTGAATATGCTTCCCTCTTTGGGTCACCCCTAACTTAGTGCAAAACAGCCAATGTTAAGAAAAAGCCAGAATACTGTACATTGTTACCATTTACCAATCTAATTTTATTTTTATATTTAACAAACACTAAACATTTGGTAACATTCAGATAACTTAGCTGAGGTTCTACTTTGCATGGTAATTTATTTGCAGTCTTGCACTAAGCCACCAAGTTAACATCCTAATCTGACCAAAACATGCCACTATAAGTACTCCCCCTACTTCCTACTACTACTTCCACTACCATCATTACCACTACCACTACTTTCTTCTTTCTCTCTTTGTTCTGTCCCTGTTCCTCTTGCCACATATACTGACTCCCTCGCTCTCGTCAGTGTGACCTGTAAATGGTCCAAGTCAGACCAACACGTTATAAGCTCTTCTCTTTCCTATGTACAGGTTATTTGTGTACAGATGCTATAATTATTATTTGGCTACAATATTGCATTTCTGGATTATAATAATAGTACAATACTAAAAACACTAATAATTTCCATGCAAATTCCCATAAGCAAGGATCTATTATTCTTTTAGATACAGAGCAACAAAACAACAGAAGATGAATGACAGAAATAATTAAATTTGACAACACATAAGTTGGTAGAATTCAGAATACAGTAGTTATATGGCATAAATGTGTTAACATTAATAAAATTACATGGACAAACTATTTGAACTTGAAATTGTACCTGTAGTACTATACAGGTCTCCCTCAACATTCGCGAGGGTTAGGGGATCAAGAGCCTCGCGAATGTTGAAAAACCGTGAATGTTTGGTGCCCCAATATATTGTAGGGAAATATATTACAATACTGCTTCCTTAACTTGTTGAACCATGAATAATCATAAAATACATGAAAACGTCGTAAATTGTACTAAATGTATACATGTTATGCTTTAATAATGTATGTTATTTAATAACATGTATGTTAATAACATGTATGTTAAACATGTATGTTATTAAATACCACAGACTCCACCACTGCCTCCACCACTGCGAGTCCCTACTACCCTCCCTCTGACCCCCGCAACTGGCAGCCAGCCCTCCCACCACTCAGTGTGGTGAGTGTTTTGTTTGTTCATTATTTGCTATTAAACTACAGAATAAATAATGTAAACCCATTCATGACTGCATATTGGAATGGCTATTAGGAAAGGTATTAGACGGTGACATCACGTGTTTACTCTTGAACACAGCAAAGAATCGAACATTTCTGCTATTGCTAATAATAACAATAGTAATAATAATAATAATAATAATAATAGTAACCCCTTTTCCTGTAAAGATTACTAAAAAGAATAAGAAGAAGAAAATTGTCAAAGTGGGAAGTCTGAATGTGCGTGGATGTTGTGCAAATGATAAGAAAGAGATGATTGTGGATGTTATGAATGAGAAGAAACTGGATGTCCTGGCTTTAAGTGAAACAAAGCTGAAGGGGGTGGGAGAGTTTCAATGGAGAGGAATAAATGGGATTAGGTCAGGGGTTTCAAATAGAGTTAGAGCTAAAGAAGGAGTAGCAATAATGTTGAAGGATAAGCTATGGCAGGAAAAGAGGGACTACAAATGCATAAATTCAACGGATTATGTGGAGTAAAATAAAGATTGGATGTGAAAAGTGGGTTATAGTAAGCGTGTATGCACCTGGAGAAGAGAGAAGTGTAGAGGAGAGAGAGAGATTCTGGGAAATGTTGAGTGAATGCGTGGGGAGTTTTGAATCAAGTGTGAGAGTAATGGTGGTTGGGGATTTCAATGCTAAAGTGGGTAAAAATGTTATGGAGGGAGTAGTAGGTAAATTTGGGGTGCCAGGGGTAAATGTAAATGGGGAGCCTTTAATTGAGCTATGTGTAGAAAGAAATTTGGTAATAAGTAATACATATTTTATGAAAAAGAGGATAAATAAATATACAAGGTATGATGTAGCACGTAATGAAAGTAGTTTGTTAGATTATGTATTGGTGGATAAAAGGCTGATGGGTAGGCTCCAGGATGTACATGTTT